TATTATCTTTTGCTGAGCTTCATCCTGATGTAGAAAGACCAAGCGAATAGCATACTCTTGCAATCTAGTGCTCTAATGTCTCGGTTTAGTTTTGCTTTTTCATTTCCATCCCACAAATTCCATGTATTTTACTTCAGTGCAGCCCAGGACAAGCACTCAGTCTACCTTAAGCTCTGTGCAGTAGCAATGACTCAAGTTGAATGTGATTCTGTTGGCAAATCTCTGCCAGTTCCTCTCACTGAAAGTGTCTGACAGAACATACAAAGATCTGAAACCTTCACCTTTGCTGGGGCAGGCAGTGATGATCTGTTTTATAACCGCAGAGCTTCTGCTTACATAGTCTTCAAAACTTTCCGATGGCACCAGAGAAGAGGGTGGGAAGTTACCCCTGACAATAAAATCACAAATTATGTTAGTCTAGATGAATATTGGGGCACTTAGCACCATTGAATGAGTGCACCAGAGAAAAGGCACTTGGTTAAAAGGTTTATCTACTGACTTGGCTGACATAATGCTACCTCAGCTTGCCTGGAGCATTAGATTTCCCCTGAGTAGTTTTCGTTAAATCTTATGGCTAAAACATAGCTCATGAAGCACCAGATGCAGGGAGAAAACAGGATTCAATAAAATTTGCAGTTTACAGAGGAGATTATGTTAAGTAGGATTTATGCCTAAGAAAATCTCAAGCTTTGAGCAGCAAGGACCACTGCCCAGCTATGGGCTGCAGACTCACAGAGCTGTGTGGCTCTCCCAATCCTGACTGAGTTAAAACCAAGGTGAGACACTGATGATGTGAATGCTTGAAAGATTTCGTTCCTCACCATTAATCTCATCAATAAACCAAGTAAATAAAAATCTACAACAAATGAGGCATTTCTACATTAGCTGGACATATGGAGAGTAAAGACTTTCACTCCTAAAGTTAAAATCAAAAAGTGTTTCCAGGGGCATTCACAGTGCATCACTTCTAAGTATCTGAGCCCTTCTGCTGACACTGGGCATTCTTTCTTTTAGGAAGAATGAACCTCTAGGAATGGGTTCATTGCTACAGCTGACAAGCCCTTAGCCATGTGTTATGATACAACACAGGGTGTTGCTTTTCTTCCTTCTAACAACTGCCCCCCTCACCCTGCTTTCACTGTCTCCTCGTCCAGTGAACAGGCAGGAATGAGATTAGATGAATATATTGCAGTAAGGTGTGGTACCACATTGTGCTTTCACAGGTGAATGCTCAGTACATTATGTCAGCACAAATGGCAGAAGTAGAAAATAGATGGTAAAACCACTTGAAAGGCTCCTGTTGGTCTGTTAATCACAGCTATTAATTCTGGCTAGGTCAGACAATCCCCAGCACCAGCCCAGGTTGTCTCCAGGCTAAATATCAACAGGAGTGCTCAGGCCAGGCTGAGGTCTCAGTGAGAGTGCTGTGTCCAGCACACAGGGATTCTTAACCCTGCATGTGATGGGAAGAAACTGGCATCATATGTGCAAACTTATAGCTCATCCACCCTAGTTTTGCCTGGAGAGGCCTAAACACTGTAGTTAGCATTGCTTCAGACCTTCCCCTCTGAACTTCCCACTGCTCTGCATTTCCACACTTCCTTTTGAGTCAAGTGATTTTGTACCATAAAAACCATAGGGAAAACAGTCTGTTGCTGAAAAAACACACCAGAAAGCCCTATACTCCAAGAAAAACGAAGGATTTTGGTCCTCCGTGCAATCTCAAATGAAGACGCTTGCTTGGCTGTAAGGAATGCATCAAGACATGGAAAGTTTTCTTTCCCTGTTTCTTGAATATGTGGGAAATCACAGAGACACTTGCTTTTATCAGCTGAGTAATTTCCTGGATCTGGCTGCACACTGCAAACACAGAGCAGCCTGGTTTGTGAGCAAGATGAGGAGCTAGATTGAATTGGAGGCTTATCATTTCCTGCCTGGCTGTGGTTTGCAAGTGCTCAGAAAAGGCATCACCCCTCACCCCACCAAGTTATAAGGGCCCCAAAAAGTCCTTGCTGAGCACAGTATTAATCTCTGAGCAACTTAAAACAACCCACCAGACATCAGTTATAGCCAAAGGCTGTGTTCCTGCCCCTAAAACCAGGACAACTGGCTCATGTCAGGCTCACCTCTCTCCCCTCCTCTTGTATGTTTCTTCAGGGACACAAACCAGGAATCATAGAATCATAGAATCAACCTGGTTGGAAGAGACCTCCAAGATCATCAAGTCCAACTCTACCACAGTTACTAGCCCATGGCACTAAGTGCCACATCCAGTCTCAGCTTGAAAACCTCCAGGGATGGTGAATCCACCACCTCCCTGGGCAGCACATTCCAATGCCTGAGCACTCTCTCTGGAAAAAATCTCTTCCTAATATCCAACCTAAACCTCCCCTGGCAGGGATGTTTCAGGCATGGAGCTGAGCACCCTCTGCCTCTTGCTGCTGCCCTGCAGACCTTCAGCAAAGGGCTGACTTACCTTATCTAAAGTCACATCTCATTGGGACTGAACACCAGTGCATTATTTACCTGACAGGTTATTCTTCATGTTTCTAGAGTGTGTTTCATGTGAACCAAAGGTAAAACAAAAACTCCTGGTGCCTGACACTATCACCCAAAATACAGCTATGCTGGTGCATGGCCAACGTGGGCCTGAGCCAGCAGCTCTGGAGGCAACACCAGGGCAGGGCTGGTCCCATGCACAAGTGTTAGATGTTTATGTGTGTGCAGGTGCACCCAATGTGCTGCTGACAGAATATCTGATTTTGGGAACAGATCATTCAGGCCTGAATTTGATCAGAATCACTCTTTTTTTTTTTTTTTGCAGTGTTTGCAATGATTTTTGGCACATAAAAAGATAATATACCTCAGAGGAAATACCACAACTTTATCAGCTAGATACAGAGCAATTACCTGTAATTTGTATCTATGTTGTAAGATGCTTCTGCCAGTTCTGCCACAGTCATGAAGTTGGGAATGTTTGCTTCCCACTTGGTCCATTCAAATAGTCCTGGTTCCACCCTGATTTTGACTTTTTGATCTAATTTAAGTCCTACAAGAACAAGTAATATATCTTAAGAAGAGACAGGTATCCTCAAAGTGTTGCATTCAGGCTATACATTCTTCCTTGTTTGCTGTAGTACTTTCACTAATGAAAATTAATTACTTACTATCAAACAAATTAGTATTGTTTGTTACTATCAAACAAATGAGTTGCTTAAATGAAACCACCATTATATTCTTGTCTAACTAATGTGCAAATTATTACATGATTGTTATTATCATCATCATCATCATTTCTGGAGATCCCTTGTGATGCTTCTGGAAGAAAAGATCTCAGTAATGTCACAATCTGAATGAACTTTAGACAGGAAATGTTTTTACTAGTTTGCTCAGTGGTCCTCATTGGGGCAATAAGATGTCTGGCAGTGTTAGAAAGGGAATTCACACAGATATTCTTCAGAGGACTGGAAACATCTGCTTTCTGGCTCAAAATATTTTCTGGAAGAGGTGGCAGTGGTGCTTTGATGAGCAGCTACTAATGTTGAGTAGAAGCTGAGGTGAAACACCTCAGTTTCACACAACATTAGATTCCCTTTCAACTAGCCAGGACCAGAGTCAATGGGATCATACCCAGCATGTTTGTCGCTGCCCGCATTACCAGCTAGACAAAACCACCTTGCCTTGGCTGCTTAAATATAACCACAAATAACCACAAAGGCCAACATCATCCTAATTGCTCATCTCCTGCTTAAATACAACCACAAATAACCACAGAGGCCAACATCATCCTAATTGCTCATCTCAGGGACTTCACAGAAGTTGGGTTAAGATGTTTTCCCAGTAGCAGAAGCTGCCTTACCCCGCAGTACATGCTGAGCTGTCTGTATGCAGCGGAGGGCAGGGGAGGAGTACACGTAGCTGATCACCACCTCCTGGTCCAGCAGAGCTTCCCCTGGATGGGAACAGCAAAGTATGACAGATGAGAAACTACTACAAAATACTTTCTGGAAAAAAAACCAGCTTGGAGCTTTGAGCTTTCATGGGATACATCAACAATCCCTTGCTATTCATTTTTTTCACACTATTGGCTGACTGAGCTCATTTAAAAAGCTCATTCTGGTGGCCATAGCAAGTTTAAAATAAGTGTTGGAAAGATAATAACAGATGATTCACTCCAAATCTGCAAACAGCAGTCAGGCATTTGGCTATCTCCATGTATCTGAGTCATCAGAGACAAGCATGTGCACCAGACCACGCTGTCACAGCCAGGCACCTTGCTGACATTAACCCCTTGCAGACAAGCAGCAGGGCACAGGTAGTGTTGTGGCTTCTTTCTTTCAACTTTCATTGCCAGGAGCTGGCAGAGTGGCTCTCAAAGGTGAGCAACTAGCTGTGTTCTCTGGTTTACTATTTAAGATCTTGCAGCAGTTGCCCACAGAAAAGTGTTACTACTGACAGTGCTGGTAGGAAGTCTTTCTACTGCAAAGGCAGTATGAGCCTTGGCAGATAGGACAGCCTGTTTCCCAAGCCCTTATATTTGCAGCAGGATATTATCCAGCTTACCTGTAATCCTGGACTGGAAAATACCACAGCTAGATAAAGGAGGATCATATTCAAACTGCTTCATGCTGTCCCTCCGCTTCGGCAGGATGGAGGGGAAGTTCAGATCTGCTCTGTAGTATTTTCCTGAAATGAGGTGGGACATTTTGCCATGACACAAGGGAGGTAACAGCTGAACACACAGGTGGCATTTCATTATAATGGCTTAATTTCTTCTGAACAGCAAGGAATGAAGCAAGGTGTCTGTCTGCCCAAGGAGATAGTCTCTCTTCCCTCCACTTCAAACACCCACAGTGTCTGTCCACCGTGGATGGACTATGGTCTGTGCTCTGCCCAAAACTCACCTGGAAGAAGTGTGTGTGTGTGGGAGCTGCCATCAGACACCACACCAAGGAGACAGCTAATAACTGAGCAGTTTGGGGTATCTTGGCAGTGCATGAACTCAGATGTCTACAGGATTATGTTAGTACTATGGACAGAGTCAGTGTGTCACTGATGGAAAACAGTTGGAACTGTTACTTTGAAGGAGTCACAGTGCTGTGCCTGACTTGCAATGTCACTTGCTCCTTTGTGTCTGTGTTTGCCTGTACACATAGGAGACTGAATCTCTTGCACCCATGACTGGGGTTAATTAGGTTTGTTTCTGTTTTGTGAAGCCCCTGCCGTTATCTTACTCACCATCTGCAGTCAAGCACTGTTGAAGCCAAGATTTGCCAAAGACCTGATCACCGTGGCGCATCACGAACACTCCTCTTCGCAGGGCAGTGTTCGGAGGCAGCTGTGGAAAAAGGTTTTTTTGTCAAAATATTATATATAACCTTCATGAAAAGTCTGGATTCATGGATGCTCCCTGACAGAAGAAGGAAGAACAGATGTCTTGGAAGGTTTATAACAAGCACAGAGTGGGAGAGAGAGGATCTGCTATAATAGATGCCTTTCTTCAGGGCAATAGTAAGCCTGACTGGCTCTGCACTGAAGGCAAATGAAAGAGATCCCTGACCTTCATGAGCTACAGATGAGGTTTCAATTCACTAGTGGAAGATAGTACTGATAACAGATCTTTTCATCCCAATGTGGAAAGGAATTATAATTTTAATTTATATGGTTGATAAAAGAGGGAAACTAACTAAGATTTGAGTAGTACAAAATATGCTCCTCAGGCCAAGTGATGGCTCTGCCACAGATCTGACCTAGATAAGAGAGGCCAAGAGCAACCTAGAGCCAGTGGAAGGACGTGTGACTCATTCAGAAATTTCTGTCTTACAGCATTCTGGGAGGCCCCAGGATGGAAGTTCCCCCAAGGTGCCCTCAAGTTTTTCTGATGTTAGCACAAATGAACCCAGGGTTATCCCCCAGCACAGCAAGAAAAGAGGCTGAGGGACCGGTAAGCCCAAAGGGTTTCTGCAGCATGTCAATGTGTTGGCTAAGACCATCTTGGCATCCCAGACAGTCAGAGCCAGTAGGGCAGTGCAGGTGCAAATGTGTGTGTATAGGTAAAAAACAGAGTCCTTATGTGTTTTGCTCTTTCTACCGAAAGACCAGTGGAAAACACAGGAAAAACTGATATGTGTTGACTTCAACACTGGGACAAATATATAATCCTATCAGTACTGCTAGCTATTCCAGCTAGCCATTCAATGCAGTTATTTACATTAGCTACATATCCAAAAATACAGATGAAAATGACATATTTAAATGTGAACTGGGACCATGGAAACTGCAAAGGCAATGGCCATAGAATCTAGACATAAGAGCAACAATGAGCAATGAGCCTAATTCTGTTATAGTTACTCTGCCTTGAATCCATATGGAAGTCAGGGCAAGTTGTGCCTATGTCACTTGTCAGACTTATGACCTCTGCAGAGCTTGGCCAGTGAGGATGTGCTCAGAGAAACCTGAGCAGAGAACTCATATTCTGTGCTGTTTTACTGTGAGGGTGGTGAGGCACTGGCACAGGTTGCCCAGAGCAGCTGTGGATGCCTAATCCCTGGAAGTGTTCCAGGCCAGGTTGGATGGGGCTCTGAGCAATCTGGGTGAGTGGAAGGTGTCCCTGCCCATGGCAGAGGATTGGAACTAGATGATCTTTAAGGTCCTTTCCAACCTGAACCATTCTGTGATTCTGTGGTCCAGATAAAAGAAGGAAAAAGATCATATAGGTTACAAAACATTGATGAGATGTTATACCACACAGTATGAGTGTGTGTGTGTCAATACACATATATGTGCACTATGACTTAACAGGAAAATGTAAGGGAGAAGAGGAAGATATTATTAAATGTACCAAATGCTTTTAGTTAATAGTATATCTGCACTAATGGTGTATCTGCCAAGCACATGGCAAATATAAGAAATAGAAAAAACAATTACCTCAAGGGAAAGCACATTTGTCACACTCCTTGGTCTACTAGGATTATGGGCTTCTCCATTCAGCTTTACATTAGGGTCCTTTTCAGTCTGGGTGAAGGATCTTGAAGCTGTTACAAAAACATATTCCCTGTAGAAAAAGCAGAAGCAATACACACACACACACACACACACACACAGACATTAGGGCACACACACAAATAGAAGAGATTTTGAGTCATGATGTTGTCTACAGGCATTTAGGAGTCAGGATTCATGTTTCATTTAATACTTTTTGCACACTTGCAATCCACTTTGTTCTTTATTTGGAATATGATACATAAAAAATAGGTTTAAATTTTATAAATTTGGTATAACCCTGCCAAAGCAGGACCTTCCAGCAGGAAATACTACCTGTTTGCCTCCTGTCTGTCTGAGGGTTCAGCAAGAAGTGCACCTACTCCTCCCTCCTTAGCAAAACCAGCTCGAATCTACAAGTAGCATCAGCTATGCTTGTCAGCTGCAGAGTGAAGTGCAGAAAGCCAGAGGTGCCTTCTGATACAGGGTAAATCAACTGGATTTTAACAAATCAACAAAGTGGTCTGAAGGTGGTGGAGCAACTTTTGTGTGGTCTCATTTCAGGTTAACTTTGCAGCTCTTGAAATGAGGAAAAAGAAGGAAGGAGTGATGCAGGCTGAAGGCTCAGCTGAAGGCTCAGCCTGCCTGGCAGAATGAGGTCTTTTAAAATTCATTAGTGTGTTCAGGTGGTTCAAGAGCAAACAGGGGTCATCCCTCAAGCAGCTGAACTTATGAACTTTGGGTATCTGTGGGTGCATGTGCTATCTCATTACTTTCAGAAGATGTCTCAGCATCTCACCCAGACCCTCAGGACCTCCCTCTCCTCTGCCCATGCTGCCTCCAGCTCCCGCCTGGCACAACTCAGAGCGAGGAAACATGGCCACACTCCCCAGCAGGAAAAGCAGACAACATAAAGCAACACCCACAAACCCCCAATGTACCTGTGCTTAACCCAGGTGTCTGACTCGTGGGCCTTCTCAGTGTAGTTTTCTGGAAGAAAACCCCTGCAGCCAGTCCGATGGGAGGTCCCGATCACCCAACCTTCGCTCACATCAGACTGATGTGTTGGGTCAACGTAGATGAAGTCCCCAGCGTTGATCATGAGCTCATCAATGTGCTGGGGCTTGTACTGGAAGAGGGCTCTCAGCCTCTGGGGGAGACAGGCAGCAGGGTCAGGCTGCTGCCTGTGCTGCAGTGGCTCGGGGGATACTTGTTCACCTCTGCTGGACACAACAACCAGTTCTATTTTCCACTCTGCAATGTGCTCTTAAGTGGCTCTTCAGCAGAGACGAAGGAAGACACTACAACATTTGCACTATGTGTAAATATAGGCACTTGGTTTTCATAAAAATACTTTCTTTTCCTGTAACTAAGTACAGACTTATTTGAAAACAAGCACAGCAAAGTGTTGTCAGCTATTTTTGTGATTACTTGCAGCTCTCCTGAGTGTGACTAAAATCCAGTATGAGGCTTGTGACAAAGTGATATACTGATCTGACTAGGAACTGTTGATCATTCCATAATTTAAATTTGGAAATGAGATTGGAAAGATGTTGACTGGTTTTATCTTAGAGTCTGTTCAGCAGAAAATGATCAGTGAGATCTGAGCTCTGCTCACTGGTATGTAACCTGTGTGGTTCTCATCATGGTTGGAACAATCAAGAAACCTAATTTTGCTGAATAGACTTTTACTGCAAAACTGTAAACTGACAAATCCTAGCAAACATTCAAGGATCACGATTTTCTGTCTCTTTCATTTTCTCATGTCATAGTGAGATTAGTTATTTTCTACTGGAGTTTGGAATTAGACCTTCAGACATGCAGGTCAAACAGCCTCCCATAAAGGTATTATCTACTGATTCACAAGAGCAGTTTTTCAACCCAAAATGGCACACAAAACAGCCATGTCCTTTGAAACACTGTGCTGAGCATGCATTGATTTTCTTAAGGAAGGAAAAGGCAAGATGACTGTAGCAAAGACTCCAACCACAGGCTCAGGAAATGAAGCAAACCTGATGACAATACCTGGTAATGCACAAAACGCATGTCCCGGGAGTAGAGAGCAGCTACCCACTGACAGGACTCCCCTGGGTTAATGCATTTGGCCAACTGCTCCAAAGTCTTCAGATGGTGAGGATAAAACTTGTGAGCCAAGGTAAGGTGGAACTGCTTCGTGCAGGGCTTCACATGGCAGTCTAGGAATGAAACAATCACATCACAACATAGATGCCAAGGTCATTTAAAGCTCTTCTTCCCGTTTTATCCCATACGCTTTGTACGATGCAGGAAATATTGTAGTAACTAGTAATAGAGTAGATCTATGTCTAGATCTAATGAATAATGGCTTTGAAGAGTGACATGGTTTTAATCATGCCAAAATTATTCACAAACGTAGAATGGATTTGCTTCCAGTCTTCATCTGGAAGGCAAATTAATGAGCAGGATTTGAGTTCCTGTCTCAGTCTGAGATGTATTGAACTAATTTCTCCCAAATAAATTTATGCTGGGGCTGTGTCCCTTCAGTCTCCATTGGTGATGTTGTTTCCCTTGGATGTCACTGGAGTGAGTATTAAGCCCTGTTTCTCAGGGATGCATCAAGCCGGGCCATAACACCATGGGGATGGAGGTCTGGGAATAGGGAATATTATATCCCTGCCCATCTTGGCTGTCCTGATCAATGGCCTGTTGTGCTGGTTTGAGCTGGAGTAGAGTTAACTTTCTTCATAGAGGCTAGGCTAGGGCTATGTTTGGGTTTTGTGCTGAGCACAGAGTTGATAATGCAGAGATGTTTTTGTTGTTGTTGAGCAGAGCTTACACAGAGTCAAGGCCTTTGCTGCTTTCCGTACTGCCACGCTGGCAAGGAAGTTGGGGATGCATGGGAGATTGGGAGGAGACACAGCTGGGACAGGTGACCCAAACTGACCAAAGGGATATTCCATACCATATGACATCATGCTCGGTATATAAGGTGGGAGGAAGAAGGAGGAAGGGGGAACATCTGGAGTGATGGTGTTTGTCTTCCCAAGGAACCGTTACGTGTGATGGGCCCTGCTCTCCTGGAGATCGCTAAACACCTCCTGTCTTCGGGAAGCAGTGAATTAATTCCTTGTTTTGCTATGCTTGTGTGTGCAGCTTTTGCTTTCTCTATTAAACTGTCTTTATCTCAACTCATGAGTTTTTGTAGCTTTTACCCTTCT